GCTGGCAACTCATGGCAGCCCAGCTCCAGGTTGAGCTGTTGTTCAGCATCTTAGCTGTAGAGGGCAGTGTCACTGGGCCTCATATGTGGGGTCTGAACCGGGGCCCTCTGGCGTCCCAAGCCAGCTCTTTACCAATGCGCCACTTGGCCGGCCCTCCTTCATTCTCTTTTGAACTCGCTCCAAGGACATTATTTCCTTAGCATACCACCCAAATGGCTCCTCTAAGAGTCCTCCATGTTGCAAAACCTAATAAGTCATTCAGTACTCATCTTACTTGATCTAACAGTAGCATTTGTCACAGTTGATCATTCTTCTTTTGAAGTACTTTTTTTCACTTGGCTTTCAGGAACCCAGAGCCACTTGATTTTCCTTCTTGTAGCAACCAGTGTGATCCTTTCAGAAAGGACTTTAGATGATGTCATCTCTCTGGCTTCCCATCTCCTCAGCATATAAACCAAAGTTCTTACTATGATCTGGGGGCCACACATGGTCTGCCTCCCTCCCTTCAACTCTCTGATCTCCTCTCCTTTCCTCTTCGCTTTGTCTATTTCAGCCTCATGGGCCTTCCCACCATTCCTTGAGCATTCAAGCTTCTTGCTTCAGAGCCTTTGTTCTTGCTTTTTTCTCTGGATGAAATGATCTTCCCTAAAATATTCATCGGCTTCCTACTTTAATTCCTTGAAGTCTGTACATACAAGTCTCCCTCTCAGTCAGGTCTTCCTGGTCACCCTGTTTCCTGCATCTCTCCCCAATACCATACTTCATATTTCTCTTCCTGCCTTACTTTTTTCCCTTTAATACTTATCACAGATAACATTATATATATATATATATATATATATATAATTTTTTTTAATTTATTTGTCTGTTGTCTCTTTCTCCAACTAGACTGTGAGCTCCATTGTTGTTCAGTGCTACATCCCCAGAACCTGGAAGAAAGCCTAGCATATAGTAAACTAATGCAGTACACATGTGTGAAATTCATGGAGGGAGAGATAAATGGATAGATGATTGGAGAAGAGGGACACAACTCTTCATTTCTCTTGGTTTGCCTTTGCAAGTTCACATATATGTCATAGGATTTAAACAGTTGAGAAACAGTTCCGTTGTCAATATGCAGAAGAAACTTCCTGTGCCGTTTTTGTTTTTTAGCTTGGAGACGGTTGTGCAGTATGTGATTTTGGTACCTGCCAACTTCTTGATAATCAGATGAATAAATTATGAATAAATTATTTAAATCATGCTTACTCTACTTAAGTACTTAGAAGATTTAAGAACTCTTGGTAAGCTCAATAGGAAGGGAATTCCTTCCTTCCTCCCTCTCTCCCTCTCTTTCTTCCTTCTTTCCTGTGAGAAGTAATTCAAAGAATGATAAAATACCAGTCCATTCCTTAGAAATTAAGGCTATAGTTTATATAAGAGCTATACATGTGATAATTAAATAAAAATAGAAGGCATATGATTAATGCCAGTTGAATAGTGAAGATAACAAGAATAGTGAAGACAGTAAGTGCTATGCCAAGTATTCGGTTGTCAGAAAAGTTATGACATATTTTGTCTGTTTTTCAAAGGTTGTTTATTTATATAAAGAACAAAGGTAAATCAATGATATGTTACCCATTTTGTTTGATAACCTTATGCCATCTTTCAGTGAGCTTCATAATTCCTCGTTCATAGAAGGACCTGTCTTTATTTGCGAAAAACTGAACAAGGTGCTGATTTACAGTTTCATCTTTATACCACACAAGAACGTTATACCACACAAGAAGTTTTGAAGAGAGCGAAACAAGTGGACCTCTGACAGAGAAAGGTCAGGCGAGTATGGTGGGTGTGGCAACACATCCCATCCAAGCTCCAAAAATTTTTGACAGGTGATCAAACTTGTGTGAGGCAGATCTGAGGCAAAGAGAATCTGGTTCCAAAAGTCCCATCGTAACACTTGATTTTGTCTAGTGCTTTAAAGTTTACACTGTGCTTTCGCCAAAGTACTTTCTCACTTGGTGAATTACCACCGCCTCCACACAATAATTCGCTGCATCTAACTACTGAAGGCTGACATCCCTTCACAAAGTACATACCTGCTACTCTTTCCTTTCCTATCACTTCCCTCACAAGCCGCCCCACTCACTCACACACTTCCTGGGCTAGGTTGACTGCAAACGTCCAACAGCAGCAATTGCATACACACTTTTGCATACAGTAGCTGCAGCCATTCAAGTGCGAACTTATCACTTATCACTTCCAATTATCGTCTCCGTTTAACGATTACTGAGTGAACCTGTGCCCTGGAGAAGTCCCACAGGCCCTGCCCCCATGACGCTTATGACTTATTTGGGAAGAAAGCCACTTAAACAAGGAAATGACCCGTCAGATGAAAACAAGTGTTCTAGCAGAGGCCTACGTGGGCGCCCAAGGAGCAGGGACGCTTCCCAAGCGTGGTGACCTCCACCCTCCTAGGACCACCACCACTGCTGAGGGACCACGGGTTTCGGCCCCGTCGTCCCTCACTCTGCCCCTTGACTGTCCAGCTCGGTCTCCGGCTGTCACCTCGAGGCCCTTTCCGGAAACTTCGTCCACGTCCGTAACTGTTCTGTGGTACTTTGCCCCTCGCACCGAGATGCACTCTCCTCCCTCAGCCTCGGGGCGCTTCCTTCCCCTTGCCTCAGCAAGTCTCGCCTCCCCACCTCTATCGCCTGAGGGTCCCACCGCCGGCACCTTGCAGTGCCCCGGACTTTCCCTCTGTCCCTCCCTCACCGGCTGAAACCCCGCTCCTCCGCGGTCTGCAGGTTCCCGCCGCCCTCCCGTCAGCACGTCGCGCTGCACAACCCGGTCTCCGCCGCCTTCCCAGGTTTAATTGCAGCGAGGCCCCGCCCCCAGGTCACCTGACCGAGTCCGACGCCCCGCCCATTGAGCAGCGGGCGCTGGGCGAATGCGGGGCCCAGGCTGCAGCTGCTGCTCGCGCCGCGATCTCTGCGGCGCAGGGGCTCCGGGCAATCGCTGAGCTCGCCGCCGCCTCCGCAACGACCAGACAGCGCTGCGGCCGCACCCGTCTGCCCCACCTCATAAGGGCCTGTGACCTCACTTGCGACCTGGACACGAGTGGCGGGGCTCCTCTCCGCGTACTTCTTCCCAGCGCCCCGGCCCTCGATTTCGCCCTCTATCCTACACGCTCCCTATTCTTTCTGCGGCTCTGTTCATTCTCTGGTGCGCTGTCCGCCCTAGTCTGTCCCCATTTCAATATTACCTTCTATCCATCCTTTAAATGCTTCTCGCCCTCCCTTTCCTCTTGGTTTCTTATGCTCAATAAGGGACAGTAGCTCGAAGACATTTGTCCCACTGCTTTCCTGAAATTTGTTCCTGGCTGCCCTTCAGAGGACTAACACATACTTTGGGATTTTTTTTTTTTAAATCAGCTTCTCTTTTCCTGCATCCTGCAGATTAATGAAACTAGTAAAAGAAAAGACAAAGCGATTTTTCCTGGCTTTCCCCAGTTGCTATGTCGCTAAAAAGTTGTATAAACCCAATTCGGTGAAATTAACCATTTTTAAGGTTTGCTAAACTAAAGTTGTAGGTGCTCTGTCAAGCAAAGAGCGTTTTGGGAATATTTCCCCCCCAAAGCCCACGATTTAAACTATCATTTCTTTGCAAACATATAGGTAGATTTGTTCACATTGATCTAACCTCCTTTATTTATACTGTGGTGAGCAGATCTCTCCAAATCATAGACATATCGTTATATCCAAATCATAACTTTAGAGACAGATCTGTCCAAGTCATAACTTATTTACAGTATACAGTAAAGCAAATTACTTATGCTCTCTAAGCCTCAATTTTCTAATTCTTACAGGATTGTGATAATTAAAAATTGTCTATGTAGTGCTCAAAAATTACAATAGTTAATTCTTTAAATGATATTACTTTGTATCTTAAACCTTACTATGTAGGCATTCCTTAATACTTAAAAAAATGCATGAGTATCTCCCTAAATAGTCTATAAGTAATCTGAGAACTGAGACCATTTCTTTTATTATTGTAAACATCCTGCCCTCCATCCCCTACTTCCCCACCCACACCCTGTTTACAGTCACCTTTATTAAATGGACTCAACCCAGGTATTCATAAAGCATCAATTTCTAATGTGTAAGGATTATAATGGGTAAATCCAGATGGTGGATGATTAACAAATCTTGAACACTTGTATCTTTTTAGTACTGAATCTATTGAGGAGTTAGTCAGTTTTATAGACTCCCAGTGAGTCTATAAATAGATTTAATAGTCTATAAAAAGAATCTATGAGTAGATTCTTCTACCAGTAACAGAAAAATCCCTAAATAATATAATAGTAACCTAAGCAAGGTAGAATTTTATTTCTCTCTCACATTCAAGAGATTCAGAGATATACTCCAGGGCTGATACTATGTACCATAGTTGCAGGGACACAGGCTTCTGTTTTACTGCTCCACTGGCTTTCATTTCAACAGTGGTTTAAAAGACGTGCCTCAGAGTACCTTTCGATCAGACAAAAGACTAAAGTTTTTAAGGCTGTGCTTCTCAGATCCTCTCATTCAAACAATTCTAAAAAAACTTAAGGCCTTCTCCTTCAGCAGAAGCCTAAGGTAGAGAAAGATTTATCTCAAAGATATTAGTGGATATGGCTTTTATCTCATGGACTGAAACGCAATAGGATTCACAATATTTTAAAGAGCATTATATTGCCAGAAACACTGCCAACTTGGGCTGAAAGAGGCAGTGTATAAAAAGGAAGGAGGCCTTTGGACCTTCAAGTTCTATAAGCAGGAAACAGGCTGAGAAAACTATTTAGGGGCAAGCACGTGCTGCTACCTTTCATGGAAAAAAAAAAAAAAGGGAAGACTTAGAGTGTGAAACTAAGAGCCTAAAGTGTAGAACCAAAAGCCATGGAGAATTATCACCAGGCCTTGAATATGGAATTGCAAACCTGCACCCAAGTAAATTTTAGAATTGCTGTGACCCAGGGACTTTTGTGCATGTTCTGTTTTCTGCCTGTTGGAACAAAAATGTCTGTGGCAGTTATCCTGCCTGTCCCACCACCATTTTACATTGATTATTTTAAGAAGGGAGCATATGGCTTTTTTCTTTAGTTCACAGGACTTCAGATTGGGAGGTACCGTATCTGAGTAGCTGTATATAATAAGGAATTATATCCAAGAAGCCTCATCTGCCCCAGGACCTATTTAGAGGTTAAGACTCCAAACTTTGAGCTGATGTTATAATGGAATAAGACTATGGGGTCTTGGGAGGGGTGAGTGTATTTTGCATGTGGAAGGACTGTAAACAATATGTGGTCAGAGGATTGGACTGTGGTGGTTTTAAAATATGCCCACAAATACTTTGATGCTTGTATCAGTTTCCTATTGCTACTGTAACAAATTACCACAAACTTAGTGCTCACACAACAATTTATTATCTTACACTTCTGGAGGTCAGTAGTCCAAAATGGGTCTTACTGAGCTCAAATCAAAGGTTGCGTTCCTTCTGGAGGTTCCATGGGAAAGTCCATTTCTTTTTTCCAGCTTCCAGAGGCTGTATGCATCCCCTGACTCACAGCCACATCACTCTGACCTGCTTCCATCAGTACGTTTTGCTACTCTCAGTCTGACTCGTGCCTTCCTAAGGACCCTTACGATTACATTAAGCCTACCCAGCTAATCCATGATAATCTCCCTATTTCAAGATCCTAATTACATCAGCAAAGTCCTTTATTCCATGTAAGGCAACATGTTCACTTGTTCTGGGGACATGAATATCTTTTGGGGGTGGGGAGCAGAGGCGCAGGCAGTGATTCTGTCTGCCACAATAGTCCTCCCTTCAAGAAGTGGCATCTAGTCCCCTCCCCTTGAATGTGGGCTGGATTTAGTGATCTACTACTTGTAATAAAGAGAGTATGGCAGAAGTGATGATGTGACACGAAACAAGTCATAAAACACATTGCCACTCTTCCTTGCTCTCTCTTAGATTATTCGCTTGGGAAGAAGTCAGCTGACATGCCATGTGGACTCTCAAGCAGTCCTATGGTAACATCCAAGTGGTAAGGAACTAATAAGCTTATTGCCAGTAGCCAGAATGGGACTGATGCCTCCTGCCAACAGCCACATGAGTAAGCCAGGAAGAGGATCCTACAGCCCCTCTGAGCCTTCGTTGACTGCAGCCCTGACCAAAGCTTGAATATAACCTCATGAGAGACCCTGAACCAGAATCACCCAGCTGAGCCATTCCGAAATTCCTAACCACAGAAACTGAAAGATCATGTTTGTTGTTTTAAGCTGCTAAATTGTAGAGTACTTTGTTATGCAGCAATAAATAGCTAAGACAACCCCCTAGGTCACATCTTAATCCATGATGTCTGTTTCAATTCTAGCTATGATCTCTACATTCCAGCCTGCAGGAAGAAGCAAGGGGAAAACGGGCATGCTCACTCCCTAAAGTGGCACTTACTGGAAGTTGTATGCACTTTTCATTTATAGCTCACTATCTATGAGATGGCTGTGGCACACATAGCTGCAAGAAAGGCTAGGAAACATTGTTATTCTGGGCAGCCATGTGCCTAACTAAAAATTAGGAATTCTAATATGAGAAGGGGAAAGCAGACATGGGGTCACAATTAGCAATCTCTATACAATCGGTGATTATAAGGGTCAGGAAAAGCAAAGGCCAACATACATCCATCAACATTTTTCCTTTCTTAAAAAGTATTTCCATTGACCACAAATGATATTTACACACCCATCCCTCTGACCTCTCCAAAGAATCATGCCCATTGTGTATGAGTCATAGGAAAACCCAATTCATATATTAGGTAAAACACAATGAATTGTGAAATTAATTCCTTAGGAAATTCTTCTCAGGGACACTAATCACGAATAATTTACAATGGAGGTTTTGCCTAAAGGCTCTTATAGACCCTAAATGTTGCTTTCTAGATACTTACATTCTGTGTGCATTCTTTAGTGCATTGTCAGAAAACACACAGCTGATGAACGTTTCCTCTATGCAAGAGGTTGGAGGACATCATTATGATGACAGCTGCAAGAAACCCAATCATGTTCCGGACCTATGATTTTCCTTTCACATAGAAACCATTCTTGGGCAGCCTCAGTAAGTGGACTTTTAAATTTTTATTTAACAGTATGGTGCACCTTGATCACAAGCATTTAAAACTGCCTCTTTGTGTGCTTTAGTCAAATGTAAACAAATCAGGAATACATGTTTCCAGAAATATATTATATTACAAAACCAAGTAGAAACTATTTTTCAACAAGTATTAAATGCCTTACTTGCAAAGCATATGTTTTGGTTCCTTACATCCATATGAAAAGTGAGTGCACTGTAGTTCCAAGGCAATCTGCTTGTAATTGGTCCCAGTGGCTATTAGATGGCTGTTACTCTGGAGTTCTGACTACAGAGGCCAAGAGTTAAAGGATTATAAATATGATTTGACATATAGCTTTCCATTTCATTTTTCACATAAGGTCCTCCATTTTCATCCAGACAGTTAGTCATCAGTTACTATGATGCAAATAAAACAGTGGATCTTGCAAAACTTTACCATAAAAGGACTAAGTCTATGTTCACATAATCTTTTTATGATGTCATGCACTGTATTGTGTTAAAAAAAATCTGTATTAGTAAGGGACGTACGACTCAAAGGCAACAATTACGAGTGTTCTGTACCCGTACTTCAATCCCACACTGTTGATGCTCAATAAATTTTAAATCATAATAAATGAAATTTCAAATTCTAAAGTCTTATTCTGGCATGCTATAGGATGACAATGTTAATGATTAAGAATTTGATTGCATCTCCCATGAATAAATGCTGTAAGAGTATTTTCTTGCTTCAGCTTGGTACACATAAAAAGTTTTCTTAGGTGCCTGCCAAGTATCCTGTTAGCTCTTTTCCCCCTATGATTCTGATCTATTACTTCTTTAGTTTTTCATGGGAATTTGTGGCTGTGAGTGAATCCAACAGCCTGTGATCATTTAACTTGAAAAGCACATCAAAAGTAGACTTTCATTTTGTGGGTAGATGTTTGGTTTCTTAATCTATCAGCCAAGGTATGTTCTTAATCTTTTAGTAGCTGAGCTAACTTACTGTAAGCTTCTTTCTAGGCCAGGAGAGGTATGTGAATCCTTAAATCAGTGATTCTCAAACTTGAGCACGCAACAGAATCACCAGGAGGGCTTATTAAAACACAGAGTGCTGGGCCCACCCCCAGATTTTCTGATTCACTAGTTCTGGGGTGAGGCCTGTGAATTTTCATTCCTACCAAGTTCCCAGGTGATATTGATGCTGCTGGTCCTAGGACCACACTTTGAGACCCGCTGCTTTAAATAAAAGGTGGGCATTTAAATAATTTGCCATTGAGCCTTTATTTTACTAGTTTATTCTTTCTGTAAACAAACCCTACAATACATTGACAGTCTGTTCTGTTGAGGCCACACAAGTTCCTAAAAATCACCAATTAGGAAAAAACAAAATCAAACCAAAACTAACTTTTAGAACAGTAATAATGTACTCATTTTGAAAAGGTTATTAAAGTCGAAAGAAAAGTCTGAAGCTAGCTTTAGTTCCCATAGTAGTCATCATTCTGTTAGATTTGGAAACATGCTTGTTCTAAAATAATCATTTGCAAGGCAATAACACTTATTCTTTTCACCCAAAGGAGACAGAAAAAACAACACAGGAAGCACTGGGCAGCCTTAGGTCAATTCTTTTTGGAAAACAGATTTAATTTATTGTTGCACAACTCAAACACAGGAGGTGGTTAGGAAGTAAGAAGGGCACTTAAGTCATTTCAACCAGGAATAATTAACAAAGAAAAGTATCTTGAAATCTTGGATGGTCTAGGAATATCTGAAAGGTAAAGAACGACTCTTCATGTGTCAGGAATGTTCAAAGTTTCCCATTACTGTCCAGAGACCCTGAGATTGAACATAAAATATCTCCCAAAGAGCTGGGCACAAATCACCTCTTTGGGCTGTGTTCTCTGGCGCCAAAATACTATTTGGATGTTCACCCTACACGACGCCAAAACTGACGGCTGCACAGCTGCAGGTTCTCCCCACAGATAGACAAACAGTACTGGTCTTCAAGGCCCATGAACCTCATTCCAGAAGCTCAGACAAGATTCCTACTGATGTTTTCATCTTTTGGATACACGTTCTTCCTCCTTTGATAGAGTCTCTTCATATAAGCCATCTTTATCTAAAGTCCAGCTACTGTTCTAATGGACTCTTGTCTCAGTTGCGACAGGGCTCGGTCATTTGTCCCACCCCTAATTCTCCAGGTTAACACCTGGATACAGAACACACATTTCAGTTACTTCTTTTGGATTCCTCTTCCCTAATACGTGGGTGCAAATTGGGTGCAAAGTGAATTAAGAAATAAGAATTAAGTGGAGCTTAAGTGCTACATCAGGAGAGGTCACTGCTAACAAAAGTTGGAGAAGGGGTTCTAAGAGAGGATAGAATGAGGCTTTTTCATTGAGAAAAGTGATATGGAATGACATCTGCTCTTGCCAAAGCCAGGTCTCTCAGATCTCCCAACTAAAAAGCAAACAATATCAACATCCCACAGAATCTTCACCGCATGTTTGACGTCACACTTAAGTCCCAGCTTCTTAGAATGGTGATACTGGAAGACACCTTCTAGACTGGCTGCTCCAAACCCATCATTGTTCAAACTAGAAAACTGGGCCTCAGGGAGAAGAAAATGACTTGCCTCAACTAAGGCTAAAGATTTGTTAGCTGTAACGCTGAGGCCAGGACTTAGATTTTTTGATCATCAGACCACTGTTTATAGCCCCTTCCCTTTTTCTGGAGCGGGTGAGAGTGGTTATTAAATGTTGAACAAATGTAAACACCAGTAGAGCATCTGCTATTGCTAGAAAAAAGGAACAGCCAATTTCCTTCCTCCTCAGGGAAAGTCCAGCATGTCTATGCGTCCATCCCCACAGGCTTCCAGGATGAGAGAGCCCTTACAGATCCAGCAACTGGGCAGTGACTGGTTATGACTGATGCCAAGAGGGCCTGTCTGTATCCAGCCCAAGTCTGTGTGGCTTTTTCTACTCTCCTTCCTTGTCATCAAATAAAATTACAAATATAATACAAGTATTTTTATATACATGTTTCTTTAGTTTAAGCAAGCCTCATCATGGTTTCAGGTGCCCCAGTGAGAAAAATAAAATAAGATTGCACTTGTGGCCTCTTAGATTAACGACTGAGTTAAAATGAGGTGGCCCAGCCCACAGAATAGGCCACACACGCTGACACAACTGGCCCATCATTCCACCCTGGCATTTATGCCCAGCAGACTCAGAGACCCATGGGAATGACTCCTTCACAAGACACCCCAGAGGTAGATAAATTGCAATCAGCCCCGTGGATGGATATAGCACACAGAAGCACAGAGTGCGGGGGGTGGAGATGTCTTGGACAAGGGGCAGAAGGCCTGAAGGGTGGGCCAGACTTCAGACTCTAACCATAGCACCCTCCCTGGGAGGAAAACCTTTTGGTTATGAGAGAAAGCCCCAGTATGTAGCCAACATCTACAACAGTGAGCATGTGGAAGTGAGAGGTAAGAGGTGGTGCTGGTCCAAGGGTAAAACACACCTAAATGAACCTCTAGGGTGGAGCTGCCAATGGGGCAAATCTGAAGGGCTATGATTATGAACTGGGGGACCCTGGCACATTCTCCCAAGCCATGCATGACCCCTCAGTGGCCCTGCCATCCTCTCTCCCAACAGATCAAAGAATTAAGCAGCAAGGGCTCCCCTTATGAGATAACCATGCTGGATTGAGGTGATGGCAAAGGGACAGGCTCTGATGGTTCAGCTCTCCCCTGATTTCTCCTTCAGCTTGAGGTAAGGGAAAGGAGATAGAAGTACAGGTGACACAAGAAGGCTGCAAAGCCCAGCGGTTCCTACTATGGCTGCTGAGAGTCGGGCCAAAAAACCATCAACTCCCAGTCGAGTCATGGTCCCTTTCTCTGGAATGACAGGCCTCAGCTCTGCCCCTCTCTTCAGGGAGACTGGCCCGAGAAGGAAAGCTGGCTTCTCACTGAGGTAGTGAAGAACACCCACTCAGCTATGTAGGTCACACTCAGGTTAAGCAGGAAGAATCTGAGGCATTCTGAGGACAAAGGCTGAGGAGCTCTGCTTATCTGGGACACGTCACAAGTTTTAAATTACACGTTCCCCCACACGCAGCACACTCACACGCACACGTGTCCACATACTGACCCACACTTCCACATACTGACATTCTCCCAACCCCACCCCACTCCAAGCCCTGAATCCCACCCCACAGATATTGTCCCCTGTAAACACAACAGCACAGATGCCCACAATCCTGGGACAGTCTGAGAGTGATCTGAGGACGACCGCTTGTCATTAAGTGCCCCGGTAGGTGATGTTGGTGAAAGTGGATGTGGCTTCTTTGTACAGTGGGTTGTTGCCCTGCGGAGAGAACAGAAAAAAGTGTCTTACAGTGAATCCTCCATTATTGCCTACCCTCATGGCTTACATTTCATCTGAAAAGATTTCCCAAGACACTCTCTCTGGGATATACCATCGATAAACAGCTTAATGCTCACTGTACTCACACATTCACTCTTAAGATGGGAATGGATAGGAGATAAGAGGAGCGAGAAGGTGGAATGCCATCCTGCCACTAGTTCTAAGGGGTTAAATTCAGCCCATCACTTTTTGGTGATCCCCAAACAGTTCAGGATAGCTTTTAGCCATCATCTTCCATTTCCTCCCTCTCTCTCACACTCTCTCTTTTGCCCTTCTCCCCTTTTTCCGTTATTGTGACCACGCTTGGGGGATGTGGGCGGGGAAGAGAAATGTACAAAGTGGTGGTTGGAACATATAAGACAGCTTTTGCTCAAATAATTCTGAATACGTTCTCATCTCATCCCTACAAGCACTACCCACAAACTGTGACGTTATGAGAAAAAAAGTAAGACCCTCACTAAGTTTCCCAAACTATTTTCTAATAAAAAGTGACAAATCCCATAAGGTCTGGTAGTCCTCAGTGGTAGCTTCAAGAAACACAGCATAGTCTCATGTGCCTCTGAGGTTCAGATTTCTACGCTGTCTGAACAGAAACATCTCAGTTTCTAGGGACGCTTGGGTACAAAGGCTTGAGGTCACCATCAAATGGGAACAAACTTACAGCCTAAACTTGGACAGTCAGGGAGTCAAATGGCTATTGGAAGGTCCAGAAAAAAGTTTAAATGTAGAAGATGAGCCAAAGGAGAATAGAGTAAAATTAAGTACATAGAAGATTTTCAAAAAATGCTTGCTTGGATTCAATCAGGGTAAACTGCAGGGAGCACAAAAGTGGAGTCTGATTTAAAAGCTATAATACCATCATCATTTGAGGAAAAAGAAGAGAATGAGATGGAATGACATTCCTGCCACTATTTCTAAGAGGAATGCCCTCTCACTTCTCTGTGCTCAGTTTCCTTATCTATAAAATGGGTATAATACTGTTGCCTACCACATAGGGTTGTTATGGGACTGAAATAATTTAATGCATAAAAAGCATTTAGAACAGTTTGTGGTACATGGTGAATCCTCAGTAAATATTAGCTATTATCATATTTTGTTCTGTGTGCATTTAATGCTTTAAACTTCATTAGCATATAATGTATTCTATGTTCTCAATGTAGGATTCTCAAGCTTGTCCTGTCTCCCACAATTGGAGAATGTTTCCTTTTCACCTCATCACAGCATTCAGAGCAGAGTTGGACCCTGTCTGTGCTCAGTCAGTACTCACTGGTGTGGCCTGTGCTCACTGGGTGGTAGAGAGAACCACGTGATTACCAAGAAGCGTGAGGACAGGACAGTTATACCATCTCCCCATTTCCAAACAGAGACTAACTGGAAAACTAGAGCGCTGATTGAACCTGTTCACCGTCATCAGCTGCTATGTCCACTTCAGGCTCCGAACCAATGGCTTAAGAAAACTCCCAGCCCAGCCCAGCCCAGCCCCCGGTGTCTTACTGTGTCCCATTTTGCTCTGGCTCTCTCTTCCTCAAATTTTGCAAACTCCTTCCTGTCATGGATGGTGATGAGGAGCTTCCAGATGAGCAGAGTAGCAAGGCCGATGAGTAGAATGGCCCCCATCACGGAAAGCAGGACTACCAGGATGTCGGGGCCCTTGGGACATTCTGTCAGGAGAGCGCAAAGAGCAGGGTGGTTATGAATGCAGCAGGAATCGCTTGAACTGGCTACAAATAAGATAGTCTTGACAAAGTAATAAAGTACTAGAAAATTCTCTGAAGGAAACAGGACTTACAAAATAAATCAACTACGTTTTAAAAGGGGGGGGGCAATCTGTAGGATAGCAATAATCTGTCCTGAGAAATTTAAATCAGAGGTCGTGAGCTGGTCACCCAAGGGCAGAATCTAGCCTACTCAATGTGGGTTCACATGGGTGTTTATTAAAAATTTGATTTGGGGCCAGCTGGGTGGCTCAGTTGGTTAAGAGCACAAGCTCTGAGCAACAGGGTCGCCGGTTTGATTCCCACATGGGCTAGTGAGCTGCACCCAAGCTGAGCTACCGCTGCGCTGCCAATGAGTAACCGGATGACTCAGCTGGTGAGAGCACGTGCTCCTAACAACAAGGTTGCCAATTCGGTCCTATATGGGATGGTGGGCTGCGCCCCCTGCAACTAAGATTGAACACAGCACCTTGAGCTGAGCAGTTGTGAGCTGCCGCCAGGCGGCCGGATGGCTCAGTTGAATGGCTCACTTGGTTAGAGCACATGCTCTTAACAACAAGGTTGCCAGTTTGATTCCCGCATGGGATGGTGGGCTGTGCCCTGCTCCCCCTCCCCTACCCCCTGCAACTAGATTGAAAGCGGCAACTGGACTTGGAGCTGAGCTGCGCCCTCCACAACTAAGAGTGAAGGACAACAACTTGACTTGGAGCTTATGGGTCCTGGAAAAACACAATGTTCCCCTTCCCCAATTCCCCAACACTGTTCCCTTTCCCAATTCCCCAACATTATTCCCTTCCCAAATTCCCCAATAAAACCATTTTTTAAAAATTGATTTTGTTGGAAAAATTAAATAATCAGGAGATTACCCCCTGTAACATTTCAGGTTCTTCTTTTTAAAAAGAAAACCAAAAGATCTAGGAACTCTGAACCTGTATTCCTCCAGGGCAGCAACTGGCTAGAGCTGAGGAACAGCTGCCCCTTTTCGATGGGACACATTTTTTAGTTGGCCAGAGTCCTGGCCACTCTCTGTTCTCTACTGAACAGAGGCAAAGTGTGACTTGTCATTGAGTCTGTGCTACTGTGGGCTCTGGAGCCAAACTGCCTGGGGCTGAATGCTGGCTTACCACTTACTTTGCTATGTGACTTTTGATAAATTACTTAACCTTTCTTGGTGTCTGTTTCCTGTTTCTCCATCTTTAAAGTGGAGAAAGTAAGAGCACTGAAGCACTGACTTTGAACACTTGTTATGAGGAATAATTAAGGAATTTAAAGAACTCAGAACTGGCATAGAGTCAATGCTCAAAAAATATCAGCTACCATTATTACTGCGGTTCTTGTTATACCTGGCTGTTGTCACTTATTTATTTACCTAGCTCCTATAGGTATTTGAGTTTGCTACCCTGGTTCAGATATTTACATTCCTGAGGGCTGGGAACCTAATGACCTTTTTAGTATACTTAGAGACTAGGCGGCCTGCCAACCAACACAATATTTTGGGTTCCTTCCCAAAATATTTAGTCATCTAAAATCCTAACCCAATTGAGAGCTGACTTCCTGTTCAACTCCAGTCAACAACCAACACAGACAGAGGTGCGTCACCCCTCTGAGGGCCAACATAAGTACACTCAGCAGCCCTCTGTTCCCCAAAACCCACAAATGTCTGATGAGTGACCTCACTCCGGTAACTTCTCAGGTGTTGTGTAATTAGGTGTTTGTGTATATATGAGTATTGATGGTCCAGAGAGGAGGTCACACCCACTTCCACACTGTCTCCCACCTTCTTGTCTAAACATACACCCTATCCTCACTACACACTGCCCAAAAACAACCACCACCACAAACCCAAACTGGCATTTCCCCAAGCCACCAAATTACAACCTGTCTATAATTAAAACAGCGTCTAGAGAGAGGCTATGAGTTTCCAGCGTCTGACTTCCCAGGAGTGAGGGGCCCCAGTTCTTCTGGGAAAAGCAATTACGAATTCTTTGGAAGGCTGAGGCAGGGCTGACCCTCAAATCTCAAAGTAAAATAGGACAACAATATAGGAAATGTGCATCTGGGGTCCCATCTCCTAATGTGGAGGAGGAAGGGGTCCACTGTCAGTAAGCCAGGAACGTTTCCCCATCCCCAGGGGTTATTTGTACCATCCCAAGTTATCATCATCTTCGTTCCCCACAGCACCAGGTAGTAGATTCCAGCCTCAGAATACCCAGCCAAAAGGTTTTCATACAGCAGGAGCACCAGCAAGAATAATTGTAGCAAAGAGATAAAATAATGTTAAACCCAACAGCAAGAACATACCGCCCTTCTGAAAAGAGAAGGGAGAAAGGTACAGAGAGGATGGGTGTGGAAAATCTATGGAACGTGTTAACACAGGTAGACGGTAAAGTGTGAGGAAGTCATCGCCCAATAATCCACATCTGTTCACAGCTACATCCCCAGATTCTTCCCGCTCCCCTTCCCCATGTCAGCTTTCCCTCGAGTCACTAAATAAAACTAAGGTGATGCCTTTTTTTCCCTTATGAAGGGTGAGAGCTCTGGGTGGGCAAGGCTGATGAACAATATCACAGATGGGGGCACCATGCTCTCCCCAACACGCTGGGTGACACAGATGTAACAGCCCTTTACTTACCTTCATTCCCTTCCTTCTCCAAGCAGCCAAAACTCTCCTAACAGACACCAGATGTATATAAGCCTGCCTGTCTCCTAGGAAATCATCAGTCCTGTTCATTCATTCCAAAGCCATTTGTTAAGTATCTTCTCTGCAGATGAGTGAGCCAAGTATGGGGCTATAATTGATAAGATTATAATTGATAAGTTCATGTGTTCATGGAGCTTATGATCTCCTGAGGGAGCCAGGTGCTTGAAGAAATTTAATAGTGTGATCAGGGCCCTTCTAAGGTAATCAAACAGGAGCGCCCAATGGAGTCAGCGGCATGGCGGCTGGAAGAGGTCTGGCAAGGCTCACAGGGGAAGTGAGGAGTCTAAAGCAGAGGGAGGTACTCAGATATTGGGGTACATCACAATTACCAGGAGCACTCATACAGAACACAGAGGCAACGTTTTGTGAAAATAGGACAGGGCTCAGAACCGTGGATTTTTTAAAAAGGAAACATACAAAAGTTCGAGAAGCACAGCTCTAACGCTTGCCACCTGTTTTTGTAAATAGAGCCAGACTCCCTTCTTTTACATATGGTCTATGGCTGCTTTCCTGGCAGAATTGAGTAGTCAAGTCACAGCAGGGACCATATGGCCCACAAAACCAAAAATATTTAACATCTGGCGGCCCTTTGCAGAAAGTTTGCTGGCCCCTGGTCCAAAGGATGATTTGAAGAAATCCCTACAGCTGTAAAGAATGTCAAGCGACCCACTGATTTAGCCTCTGCCTTCGGAGATGGTGCCTTCACTCCCGTAAGTTCTTGTCCACCCCCCATCACAGCATGGCCCTTACCCCTGCAGTGTCATTATGGATATACATGCCTGCCTCCCCTCCGCCGTGGTCTGTGAGTGCCACATCTGCCTTATTTGCTGATGTATTCCTTGCGCAGTGCCTGATATATAGTAAGTACTCCAAAATATTTTCTACTGATTCATATTTTGATCTGTTGTTTAAGGGGAAGGAAGGAGATAAAGGTGCAAAAGCAAGCGCATGCACTGTGTTGGATGATGACAACGCTGTGGTTGGTCTGTGTGTGATGGCATCAACTCCTCCTGCATCAAGAGGGCCGTGAGAGCAAGCACTGTATTTTCAGTGTTCCGGGCAGCCTGGGGTTGGTGCCTCACACCCTTCACCACATCTCATGGTGAACCTGCTAAGGTAAGCATCTCTAACCATCAGGACCCCCTCTGAAGCAGCAAGCTGGTTGCTCTTGGCAGCCGTGTAACTTTTCGTAGAGCAAGAACGCCTTGTGCTAAAAAGTCCTAGAATTGAAATTCCTTACTTCTTAACATTATCGCCTCAAAAAATGCCATGATATATTTTACTCCTTCATGGGATTCACATCAACCTTTTTCCTCTCCTTACCCACCTTCATATTTTTCTATCTCCTCAAGCAGCGAGTCACTTTTCTTGCCAATATTTGGATTTCTAGAATCCCCCCACTCAGATGATAGGCCCTAACTTATCATTTATAAATTCAGGCTTAACCTGGCTGTTCTGTTTAAGGGGCATGATGGGTGGAAATGACTGCCTACCATGGTTCTCCCTCTCCCTGGGGGCAGGGCCAGGGACCCTCAGGGTTCACTCACCTGGCTCTTCTACCACATACAGGATGGATTTTCCACTGGAGTCTTCATAGTACTGGAATCTGATGACACAGTCATCCTCATTCTTGTATGTACAATTCACTGCATCTTTGCCAGTGTCCTCTGGGAAAGGAAGGAAGATGGGAGAATGAAGAATGGGTCAATTCCTGGAAGACAGGGCCACCCCCAAACCCCAGTCACGAGATTACTGGGAAAAGTATGCAACAGGAAACCGTATGTTTGACATTAGGCAAGAGGCCTAAGTATGAGATGGCTGTTGTGCCTGGCAATTGTCTCCAAATGACCCTAACCGATATACTTTGTCCCTCCCAGGCAGGCCCTTTCTGATTCTTATTCCTCCCTCTGGAAGGGACACCGCATAACAGTATTATACAATCTGATTCAAAGCCTAGCTCTACCACCTACCAGCTGTGTGGTCCCCCAGCAAGTTACTTGACCTCATCCAGTCCCTCTTTCTTCATCTATAAAAGGAAAATGATCCCCTCACCTCACAGGATTGGTTGGCAATTAAACAACATCAACAGTGGGTGTTCCTGTCCCTCTCTTTCCTTTCTCTGCTTGCTCAATGACTCTCAAGAGTTCGTCCATTTCTGCTTCTGATCCAGTGGGCCTCTCCAGAGCCACCCTCTCTTCTCTGACTCCCATCATGCTTTGTAGGCTTCATCCCTTCTCATCCTAAAACCTGGTGCTTCTGACAGTGAAACTATGTTACCCTCCACTAGCTGCACTGTGCCCTACACTGATGAAACGGATGGGTAAAACTGACACACGTTGAGATTAAGCAAACGTGCCAGGGTCACACAGCAAGTAAGTGATGGAGCAGGACTAGCACATGCATCTCAAAGCACAGCCTACAGACTGGAACTCAATAAGCCTTCAGTAAACTAGTACTCTAGTACTGTGGAAAGAGTAAGAATTTCAGAATTTGGTTCTAATCTTAACTCACCACTCATTTGCTTGGGCAAGTTACTTAACTTTCCCAAGATTCAATGTGTTCATCCTCAAAATGAAGATAACAATAGTATTATAGTTCTACTTTATCAAATTGTTGGGAGAACTGTAAGATAACGAGCATGAAAAGATACTTCTATAACTTTTGTTAAGTTACAAAATTCCATACAAATAAGCATTTATTTTTATGATTATCAGGGCGGGGGTGGGGGTTGTTGTAGAAATACTTATCTACTAACTTGTAATACCCATCTGGTCTAGATTATAAAAATCTCACATCTCAGCAGCCTCTCCTCCCTGAACTAATCACAGAAAGCACAGTGTCCTCCAGAGGAAAAATTGTCTCTTCAAACTCAATCCCCAAACTGCTGCTCTTACCCCAGCCTCACTTCTGATGTTTGCCAAAGGGTCCAGAGATCTGACTCTTTTCCATAACACCCCCTCCCAGAAGCTGACTGACTGGCTGTGTCTTACTGTAATTCTCACTGAAAATGTGTTTCCTGCCTTTGTGGGAGATTACTATCCCCAGAGAGACTGCCATGTCCCAGGCATCACTCATGCCTACCTGGCCCAGATAACCACATCAGATGTGCTGACAGCAGCAAAGATCATCTGCTTTGAAGTCCAGGGGAAGTACAAACCAGAATTGCAGGCAGGCATCAGTTTTGCTCCTCACTGTATTTCTGTCTTACTCTACAAGGGACTCCAGGGTGCCAAAAAGGCTTCAGGGTAATGATTTTGGCTACAAATCCCAAGGGTGAAGGTCTCCTTGGACATTCTTAGTGAAGTAAACTTAGTAAATGCTCATTAGCCTACTAAGCTAAGGCTGTCATGGGCAGCTACTTTTCCACTCTGCGCCTCTGTTTCCTCATCTGTAAAATGGGTGCATTCTCTTCCTTTCTTTGAGGAGGTCAAGTTAAGGTTGCCTGGTTTATAGACACTTTCAAAGTTATGTGCAGGATCTTGCTGAGTCTCTGGGCTCTGGGAAACAGAAGGGGGAGGGTCTGCTGAACAGATGAAGGGTGCAGGGGGACTCTCGGGGAGGCCAGCTTCTATAACAAAGTGCCTACTGTGCACTGGGCCTGTACAACACGCCTTTCAGGTCAGAATTACTCTTCTATTTTACAGATGAGAGGTGGATCGTTTCTGGGATTAAATCGGAAAAACTCAGAACCTGGGTGTGTAACTCTAAGGCACGCTGAACTTACTAAGCTCCTTCACAGACTCGATCTCATCGCGACAGTAACGGTTGCAGGTATTTTCCTTGAATAGGGTTCCGCGGTCAAACTTCTTACACTCTACACACTCCCTAAGGAAAGAAGACACAGGGATTAAGGCGACGGAAGAGCAACCCCAAGAGTATTCCTGTCTGGCTCTGACCTCCCTACACTCAGAGAGCTGCTCCACCTCAGGAAACAAACACAAACAGAAACATCTGTAAGACAATCCTGGGGGCCCAGAGCGTCACGTCTGGAGTTCAGGGGCAGGGGTGCTCTCCTCACCCCTAGGCAGGGCCTGGCAGGCAGAGGCCTCCAGGTAACATCATTCAATTTCTTCATGTCCCATCTAAGACTGTAACAGGAAGGTGAACCCTATGCCACTTCTGGGAGCCTTAAAGTCAGAACAGGTCACATAGTTTGGGGGCCCAGTGCAAAATGAAAATGCCAGGCTCCTTGTTCAAAAACTACCAAGAATTTCGAGACAGGGACAGCAGAGCATTAAACCAAGGGTGGGGCCCTTCTAAGCACGGGGTCCTGTACAAACGCACAGGTTGCACGTCTGTGAATCCAACGCTGCTTAAAGTGGAAAGAGAAATGGCAGTGCCACAGACTTGAGCTGACGGGGGCTTCCTCTGACCCCCCCCCCAAATGGGTGACATTTGTATGGGTGCACGTCTCTCTTTCACATCGTATCTTTCATAGCTCCAGCCCCACATCTCTTACAGAATCAGATCAGCCCTAGAACATTCCCCAAAAGTTACCTCCTAACTCAGGGACTCAGGATGCCCCTCTGGAGTCCAGCTGCTACCACTCTGGCCGCTTCATGGTTGGCTCTACCTCCATCTCTCCCCCCAAAGTTTTCAGCGAAAGAAGAAAGCCAGCCATGTGGCTGGAGCAGACGCCTCTCGCTAAAGCTCTGGTGAGTAAGAGACTGAACCTGAAGAGTTGGGGGTTCTAGTCGGGAGTGAGGGGGACCCTCTCCATCCCCCACCCAGACACTCAACTCTCTCCAACTCACTTCTCTGCCCACTCACTTCTTAAAGGTGCAGGCATCGGGGCAGGTGGGACACTTCTCACAAGTGTTCCCGTAGGAGCCTGGCTGGATGCAGACGCAGCGGCCGCATTCACACTTGCCCCGGCCGCTGCACAGCAGCCCGTTACTGGACATGCACGTGTCGGTGCGTGTGGTACAGTTGCAGTAGTAGCCGGTCCAGTCGGAGTCACACAGGCAGTCCCCACAGCTGCACTGGCCATGGCCTGAAAACACAGCCCATGGGGGCAGACCCGCTGGTGAGGGCCCCATCCTACAACAGCAGCTCAACCCGCTTTCAGTTTCAAGTCTCATCACCCTCCTCACATTGCCACACATCAGCTGCCACGCTGAACTGTTCTATCCTTATATCCATCTTCCATCCTTGTATCTGCACGCTTCTATCATGCTGTTTCCTCTGCCTGGATGCCTTGTCCTCCTCTGACCACTAACGACCAAACTCCCACTCACCTGTTAAGGCTCAACTCAGATGTTCCTTCATCTCTGTGACTTTTTCTGACCTCCCCAGGCCAAATCAGCTGTCTGCTCATGTGCTCCCCCAGCACTTACTCGTATATGTGCCTCTACTTAAGCCTTTATGTTCAACCCATTTGCTTCCCTGTTTCTCTCTCTAGATTATGATCTCCTTGATAGGAGAGCACATATTATATTCCATTTTGCATCAGTAATGTTAGCATATCATCTGACACAGAACAGGCATGCAATTAATGTTTATTTATCCATTCATTGAACAAATTTTTATCGAGCTCATACCACAAGCTGGGCACTGGAGATTCAGCAGTGAAAGACAGGCAGGGTCCCTACTCCCATGGAGGTTACATCCTAGTCAAATTCCTGGAAAACACACACATCCACCAACGTGTGTGTGCCCTGTGTTGTATTAACCTATTATTACAAAGAGTCATTGGCCCTAGTAGAGAAGAACTATTCACTTTACTACATCAGTGTAGGAATGGGGGTTACACTGCTTAAATGCAGGCATTAACTCCCAATGCTATATTCCCCTAATATTCACTTAACAAGCCTTTAAAAGTTGCCTCCTAAGCCCTACAGAAAAGGTGATTCATTCCCCAGGACTCTGAATCAGGAAGAACTAGATGAATAATAAAAATCTGACTGTTAATCAGAGGAAAGGCAGGAAGCAACAGGGAAGAACCCTGAATTGGTCTGCAAACCATGCCACTGTGTGAGCAAGTGAACCCCATGCTACTGGAGGAGAGGGTGGGATGTGGCCAGGCTCAAACAGCCACCAGCTGGCACCTCCTGCTCCCCAAGTGACCCCAGGGGGTCTGACTAATGTCTCTCTGCCAGGGACCCCAGCACCATCTTCTCGTAACCACACTGGCATTCAAGATTCAGGCACTCCTTTACTGACCTGGAAAGAAAGGTCTGTTTCCCAGGAAAGATGAGAAACACAACCTCATCTGCCCCAGCTGCCTAGTGTATCTGCAGAGTGGAAATGCTGGGCTGGGAAAAGGGTGGAAAAAGAAGAAAGACTGCATTTTGAGGTTGGGTTCCCTAGAAGCACAGCTTGTGGAGAGGATTCTTGTTCAAGTGACTTACTGGGCAAGTAGAAGAGAGGTAGGGAAGTAGGACAGGGCAAGAGTCAAAAGCTGGCAGGAATGTGCTTTCAGCTAGAGGCTCCCTTCAGCCTGATCCCACGGTGGGCTCGGAAGCGTGAATGGCCCCATAGAGCTAGTCCCACCTTTGATGCAAACGGACTGGCCTTGTGTAACCCCTTAGCCATCAGTCATTGGCCAAGGTCTGAGGGCTCCTGTCAGCGCAAGATAATTCTCCACAAAAGGGGCAGCTGTGAGCTATTATTAGCAGCCCTAACAGCAGCTGGGGGAAAGGGGTGCCAGCCAGCAGAGAGGGGCCTGACAAGTGTCCACTACATCCAGCTTTTGGCCATGGCTCCCGGTCGAGGAAAGGCCAGCACCACAGAGGCCTGGCAGCACGCAGAGGCCTCAGCCTCCTCAGAAACCTTTGTCCCATAGTGTTTCCTTTGTGAAGCTAAACAAAGTGATCTTTGAGAGGACAGCTCCGCCAGGCCAGCCAGGGAGTGAGGTCGGGAGTGGAAATGGGAGCCAAAGTCCTGGCAGGGTCAGCCCTTAAAAGGAAGCCACAGTGTGGTAATGTCACAGGACTGGCAGCCTTCCAGCAACAGGGTGGCTGAGGCTGGATTCACAGGAAAGTGAAGGGGAGGGGATGAGCAATGAGGAGAAAGCGTAAGAAAGTGGCGGGACATAGGAAAAAGGAGGGGGTGGGATGTAAGGGAAAGAAAAGGGAGGGGTTGGTATTTCAAGTCACAAGGAATGCAACCACTCTCTCTACAGTTTGCCTTTCAGAGCTCCTCTCCTTTATAAACAAGCCCTTCCTTTGACAGCCCACCTCCTCCATGAAGCCACCCAGGCCTCCCTTGTCCACAGTGAGTCTCTCTCCAGCAGACTCCTATCACACTCTCCTCACTCCTGTAACACTCCTGAGGACACCTCACTTCTAGGACCTGGCACTTTCTGCCTCATGTTGTTTATTATCCTTAATTAAGTTAATGAAGGGCAAACTGTCTGACTTATTCCTCTCTCTCCCACAACACCACAGCACGCAGCACAGAACCTGGCTCATGGGGGGCCCTGATCAATCTGTGCTCACGGATGTGGCAAACGGAAGAGTTCCTGGAGGACAAAGATGTACTCCCTCTGTTGGAGGCAGCAGTGCTGACAATGTGCTACCTGGAGGACAATGCCTCCAGTGGGGAGGAAAGCAGGGGGGAGGCCAGGGGCTAGAGACATGGCCCAGTCATAGAGCTTCTGCCTCATGAGCCCTGCTTGCAGCAGAGAAGAGACCAAAGGCCAACAGCTCCGGGAAGGGACAATGACAAGTTGGGCTATAAGCTCTGAGAGGTCAGGAATCAGGCATGACCCCTGTTCACCCATACACACTGAGTGTCTGGCACAGGGCAGGTGCTCAGTGAGTACGTGTCCCTGAGTATCTGTCACTGGAAAATGTGATGATGGCACCACAGGGTCCAAACCTGAGGCCGCTGGGAACCTAGCACCCTGGCAGGAAGTGGAGGAGGGAAGCCCCTGAGAGGCTGCAGTGCCTGGGGTTCCCTCGCAAGCAAATTTGACTTCAGCATATTGAGGAGGAGCTGTTCTTGCCCCAGTGGGAGGCAGGAACCGGGGCTGCTGACCCAGGCAGCTTTGTTTTGTGGCTTCAGTGGGGCCGGCAGCCAAAGGAAACACTCTGGTGGGATCCCTCCCACACTACCTCACAGCAGACCAGGAACCAACAGGCCATGGAGGCCTAGTGGACCTCCCTCCACCCCTGTTACCCACAGTAGGCTATCTGTAGGCCTCTCCTAGGGCAACCCTCTCCCCACAGTCCCAACTTTTCCCCCATGGGTCTCCCATATCAGGCTTACCCATTCCCTTTGGTACTTTGAATATAATGTAAATACTATTAAATATTTGCAATGAACTAAAATTCCTGCCTCATCCCCTAATTCAAACGGATGTTTGTGTGTGTGTGTCTGTGTGCACCTGATCTTTCTCCCCTAATCTCTGATACCATTTTTTCTCCAATCTCCCTCTCTCTAATTTTGTTGGCATGGGTAAAGGAAACTGCTGTAAATAAAAAGGAACCATTTTTATATGACTTGGGCATGCTTTAGAACGACACAGATTTACCTTTCTATTCAAGCCTTTTTTAAAGGCTGATGTTAAAGTGTACTTCTGGGTGGATTAGCTCAGCTGGTTAGAACTCCAATGCACATAAAGCCAACCCCAGTCATGGATTTGATCACCATAGAAACCATTTATAATCTCTGTTTGATTGGCCACAGAACATGCCCATAAACCAGTCCCAACCAATTAGCAAATGTCTTCAGTCTGTTTGTCACAAGAAGGATTAAGCCACAGTGATGATAGCACAGCAAAAAACCTACCCCCAGTCCCAGGAACAACTCAGACTGCCTGTTCACCTCTGTCAGTGTGTCTGCCGATAAAAGCTATATTAATTTCAGTTCGACTTCTTCTAGCTGGGGAAGTACCCCAGGAGTGGTCTCTGGGGCAAGGAGAAACCAGTTTGAGGTTATCAGTGGGCCTCCAGATGTTACTGAATTTTATAATGAGGACAACAACTCAGTATCCTGCTGGTAGAAGGACTCAAGATCATAATCCCCAATCAGTAAGCTGGGACGCCCTATGGCAATGCTGTTCAGTATGTAGTAAAACTTTGGATTGCAAGTAACTTGGTTTGCAAGTATTCTGCAAGACGAGCAAACATTTCTAATACATTTTAACATGGTAAACGAGCGATGTCTTGCAATACGAGTAGTTTGTTTCCAGAATGAATTATGCTCACAAACCAAGGTATTTATATCTATGCTACCCACCATGGCAGCCACTAGCCATATGTAACTCCTAAGCAACAGAGGAACTGAATTTTCAATTTTCAATTTAATTTAAGTTAAAATTTCCTTAAATTTAATTAATTAAAATTGATTTAATTTAAATTTAAATAGCCACATGTGGCTAGTGGCTACCATATTGGACAGCACAGATCTAGAATCCAAAAAGTAATAGTAGTACCAACAGCAATAGCAAAATCATGCCAACGTTTAATACGAGCTTACTATGTTCCAGTCATTGTTCTAAGTGTACCAGCTCATTAAATGTGCTCCAATGTCTTGTGTATATACGACTATTTATCATGTCTTTTGTGATGAAAAGATAAATTCATGTAAAACAATTATTACTAACTTTTCTATATATGCTATGTCATGTATTTTCCAAATTTATAAATACTAAAACGTTAATTACTATCAGTCAATGATTTTCTTTTCCTTAAAAAGGGGTTGGTCCATATCCTCAAAAAGATTAGAAACCAATGACTTAGGGGCTGGCCGAGTGGCTCAGTTGGTTAAGAGCTCGCTCAAGAGTTTGAGCTCTGAGCAACAGCGGTTCCATTCCTGGCCTGAGCTGAGCAGCCACTGAGCTGCCAACAGGTGGCAGGGTGGCTCATCTTAAAAAAACAAACAAACAAACAAACAAAAACCCAGTGACTTAAAATATTAGGGTAGGACTGGCCGAGTGGCTCAGTTGGTTAAGAGCGTGAGCTCTGAGCAACAGGGTAGCCAGTTCAATTCCCACATGGGCCAGTGAGCTGAGCCTGAGCTGAGCTGCCAACAAGTGGCAGGATGGCTCAGCTAGTGAGAGCACGTGCTCCTAACAACAAGGTTGCCAGTTCCACTCCCTCATGGGATGGTGGGCTACGCTTACCCACAACTAAGATTGAACATGGCACCTTGAGCTGAGCAGCCGCAAGCTGCTGACAGGCAGCTGGATGGTGACTGGACTTGGAGCTGAGTTAGCTGCGCCCTCCACAACTAAGATTGAAGGACAACAACTTGGCTGTTCTCCTTCCCCAATTCCCCAATAAAATCTTTAAATAAATAAATAAATAAATAAATAAATAAATATATATATATATATATATATATATATATATGTATGAAGAGCAGATGAAAGAAAAGAAAAAAAAAACTATCTTCACCTTTAAGTGTCCCCTCCTTCCCATGCTATTCTAGGAGAGAAGCCCCGCTTTCCTGTATCCCACAAGCAAGGCCACGGGGAGCTGAAAGGAATGAAAGAGAACCTCATTTCTGTTTTCTGCCACTGGTGTGGAACACCATCCACTCAGCTCTGCCCCGTGGGCCTTCCTGAGCCCACCTTGAGCCCTGGCCTAGGTTTCCAGACACTGCAGATGTGCGAGTGTGTATGGGTACCAGGGTGGGAGGGGTGTGCACTTCTCACCTGAGCACATCTCCCCCTTGTAGCGGACACAGGAGAAGTCATCACACTCGCAGTACTTGCCCGTGATCTTGCCGAAGTCACTGCTGTGGCAGACACACTGGCCACAGAGGCACTCGCCCCGCTGGCTGCAGACAGGCTGGCCCTCCTGGGGGCTGCACTCATCCTGCTGGGAGGGGCGGTAGTCCTCTTCCGAGCACTCACACTGGGACCCCAGCCAGCCAGGCTCACAGCGGCATACCCCACACTCAAAGGTCCCATTGCCATTGTTGCAGCGGCGGCTGTAAGGCTCGGCATGGGCCTGGCAGGCACAGTCACAGTCGAAGGTGACCTGGACGGTGAGGCTGTCCTTGAAGCCCACAGGCTTGATGGTGAAAGACTTTTCCTTCTCCTGGGGGCAGCCACGTACCTTGGCCTCAATGCTGAAGCTCACCTGGATGGAAAGGAAGATCGTTGAGTAGAGCTGCACACCCTTCCAGTCCTGGTACCCACACACACTCACACAGGTGGACCCTGTGAACACTCCAGCCCTGCAGGGAAATAAGCTTCTCTCTGCCCTGCCGAGGAATACGCAGTCTCGGAGTCTCATCCTCCAGCAATCTGGAGTCCCTCAGCCTTCCCACTACCCAGGTCTGCAAAGCAAAAACAAGAGCTCAGGAATAGATGCGCAGTTGTGACATATCTGGCTAGGTGCAGAGACCATGTGTTTACAGTTATGATATAGAAGGTTGAGTTTTTTTTATTCCATATGTAAAATAAACCAGCGCGTGCAGAACAGAGCCTGTGATCTCGTGAATGCTGTGCTCTGGCCAACTATGCTAGCTGGGCTGATTACATAATATCAGTGAGACACACAAAGAAAGCACTCTTTTGCACAGCACAATGCCACACAGTGGCCAACCACAGGCTCCGGATCTACTGTTCAGTTTCCACATAACATTTCATCACCTGTGCAACCAAGCCCATTTTAGGCCAAAATTTTTTACGTGGGGTATGTGCACATGTGCCTACAATACAGGCAGAAGGATGGACAGATGGATGGAGATAGATACAGGCAATAAAGATAGAGATATGGATGATATAGATATAGACATCCCCCTCTTTTCCTCCTTCCCCCTTCACCAACCCTTCTCCCCTTAGGCAGAAGAGAACAAATACTAACGAAGGAAAATCACAGAGGGACTGGAAGGGCAACCTGAACATTTGCATTTGGAAATTCCATCAGGGCAGGTATTTCTGCCTGTTCCGTTTGCTGTTGACTCTTCAGTAACTGGAACAATGCCTGGCACAAAGTCAGCGCTCAGTAAATGTTTATAGAAGACTACCACTTTACATTGTGGGGGAAAGAACGGCATTACCTTGGGGGAGGTCAGAGGCTGGTTAGGGACTGAAGGTAAGAAATACTTTCATTTGCAGACAACTGTGCATAAACAAAGAGAGGTAAGCTAAATGTACGTTTTTAAAAATCCTGACAGTGAAGTTCACTTAACAGATAGAGAAAATTTAGGCAACAGAAGCCTCAGAGGAAAAGGTTGGCAGCTCCATTACATCGGAATTGTAATGACCTTTGGGAAGAAGGTACAGGGAAGGGAGGGGTGGGGTACCCGCAGACACTCAGAACTTCAGCCCTGCCCAGCCCACCTCACCGTGTCTCCAATCTTGAGTCCCACACAAGACTTGAGGCCTGGGATGACCTCGTTGTTGAGACAAGTGGCATTGAAGGATAGAGACAACTCCTCAGGAAGGTCACGTACTTCCAGCTCTACTTTAGAACGGATTTTCTGAGCAGAAAAGGGCAAAAGGAGGTAAGGAAATGGGCTGGGAGGGAACCAGTAGGAGCCCATTCCATCCCAAGCAAAATCTACCAGGTGGCCCTGGACTCACCCCGGCAGTACCAGATGCTGAGGTTTACCTGGAAGCTGCCAGAACACCCTAGGAGCCTGCTCCCTGCTTTATTTCCTGCCAGGACCTGCTCCCCCTCTCTGTCCCCACTTGTGCCTAGGTGAGTCTAGGTAAAATCGAAACCAGCTACACCCTCCTGCAGGCCTCATGGATGTGCAAAAAAGAAGTGCTAATACTGGTCACCTTGGGTAGTAGCACTTTCTACCAAATTTTTCATCAACCTCACCTTCCCTGTGGCTCAGCTCCCTCTTCCCTCTATTGCTGGAGCCCAGCTCTCCCTCTCACCCTGCCACCCTCTGCCTCCAGTTTCAGGGCTCTGCACCTTCCTCATCCCCACCCCCATCCTCTGTTTCCCTTCCGCCTCCTCTACATTCTTCGCCCATTGGTTCTAATGCTTCCTGGCTCTGGATCTACCATTTCTTCCCCTGAGCTGCATTCCTCTCAGGTGCTGGCCGTCACCTGGCCTCTGGAAGAACACGAGGAAGGTGGTGAAGGCTGCATGGTGGAGTAGCAGCCAGGACTCCCAAATCTGAGCCCTCCTGGGTAATGCCCAGTGAGGTGGACTCTTAGCAGGCCTGTTCCCAGTGCAAGACACTTACCCCATAAGCATCAACAATGAGCTGGAGGACATTGCTGGAATCGGCAGACAGAACGCCCACTGTGGTCCCTGGGATGAGCTCACTGTAGTTCTAGAAAGAAAGACAGATGTCCAGGGCTGACCGAAAAAGGTGATAGTCTCCAAAGGCCCTCCCCATATCAGACTGAGGGTCTTGAAATGAAGATGGAGAGAAGGATAGGATATTTTACTTGTCACTGCCAGGAATAAATCTAGCAGTTTTTCAGCCCTGACCAAAATTAAAGAAAACAGCTCACAACCCTCGCCCCATAGAATTGTTCCCCTCCCCCACCGCAAACATCAACCTACCCATCCTGCTAAGTTCAAGGTTGGAATCATTAGCTCCTGGGAACAGGCTGGAGGAGGGTCTTTCCTGGTTTGGGACCATGGCCAGTGCTAGTGTGGGCTTGTTCCCTGAATCAGGTCCATCCAGCACAGGCCCCACCCCCACTCCAGGAAGCCCTGACCGCGTGCGCAGTCACCTGGTAGAGTTTGACTACTTCTTCAGTCACTGCAAAGATCAAATTGATGTTATTCTGGGATAGCTTCTCGGTCATCAGCCCCAGAGAGGGATAATCCTGCAAAAAGAGAGAATGTGGAGGTTAGTAAGAAATCTAGTCACACACATCCTTGGATTCTAAGCCTTAGAGTTTGACTGACTTGGGCCATGGCCTAGACAGTGCTGGTGCTTAAATCTTTCCACCCCATGATCAACATAAGGAATGGGGATAGATAGCAGCACAAGCCCAGTTGTGAACTCCAGGGACAGGTGAAGAGTCCCAACTAAGCACCTCTTTCTTCCTACTCAAATNGTGGGGGAAAGAACGGCATTACCTTGGGGGAGGTCAGAGGCTGGTTAGGGACTGAAGGTAAGAAATACTTTCATTTGCAGACAACTGTGCATAAACAAAGAGAGGTAAGCTAAATGTACGTTTTTTAAAATCCTGACAGTGAAGTTCACTTAACAGATAGAGAAAATTTAGGCAACAGAAGCCTCAGAGGAAAAGGTTGGCAGCTCCATTACATCGGAATTGTAATGACCTTTGGGAAGAAGGTACAGGGAAGGGAGGGGTGGGGTACCCGCAGACACTCAGAACTTCAGCCCTGCCCAGCCCACCTCACCGTGTCTCCAATCTTGAGTCCCACACAAGACTTGAGGCCTGGGATGACCTCGTTGTTGAGACAAGTGGCATTGAAGGATAGAGACAACTCCTCAGGAAGGTCACGTACTTCCAGCTCTACTTTAGAACGGATTTTCTGAGCAGAAAAGGGCAAAAGGAGGTAAGGAAATGGGCTGGGAGGGAACCAGTAGGAGCCCATTCCATCCCAAGCAAAATCTACCAGGTGGCCCTGGACTCACCCCGGCAGTACCAGATGCTGAGGTTTACCTGGAAGCTGCCAGAACACCCTAGGAGCCTGCTCCCTGCTTTATTTCCTGCCAGGACCTGCTCCCCCTCTCTGTCCCCACTTGTGCCTAGGTGAGTCTAGGTAAAATCGAAACCAGCTACACCCTCCTGCAGGCCTCATGGATGTGCAAAAAAGAAGTGCTAATACTGGTCACCTTGGGTAGTAGCACTTTCTACCAAATTTTTCATCAACCTCACCTTCCCTGTGGCTCAGCTCCCTCTTCCCTCTATTGCTGGAGCCCAGCTCTCCCTCTCACCCTGCCACCCTCTGCCTCCAGTTTCAGGGCTCTGCACCTTCCTCATCCCCACCCCCATCCTCTGTTTCCCTTCCGCCTCCTCTACATTCTTCGCCCATTGGTTCTAATGCTTCCTGGCTCTGGATCTACCATTTCTTCCCCTGAGCTGCATTCCTCTCAGGTGCTGGCCGTCACCTGGCCTCTGGAAGAACACGAGGAAGGTGGTGAAGGCTGCATGGTGGAGTAGCAGCCAGGACTCCCAAATCTGAGCCCTCCTGGGTAATGCCCAGTGAGGTGGACTCTTAGCAGGCCTGTTCCCAGTGCAAGACACTTACCCCATAAGCATCAACAATGAGCTGGAGGACATTGCTGGAATCGGCAGACAGAACGCCCACTGTGGTCCCTGGGATGAGCTCACTGTAGTTCTAGAAAGAAAGACAGATGTCCAGGGCTGACCGAAAAAGGTGATAGTCTCCAAAGGCCCTCCCCATATCAGACTGAGGGTCTTGAAATGAAGATGGAGAGAAGGATAGGATATTTTACTTGTCACTGCCAGGAATAAATCTAGCAGTTTTTCAGCCCTGACCAAAATTAAAGAAAACAGCTCACAACCCTCGCCCCATGGAATTGTTCCCCTCCCCCACCGCAAACATCAACCTACCCATCCTGCTAAGTTCAAGGTTGGAATCATTAGCTCCTGGGAACAGGCTGGAGGAGGGTCTTTCCTGGTTTGGGACCATGGCCAGTGCTAGTGTGGGCTTGTTCCCTGAATCAGGTCCATCCAGCACAGGCCCCACCCCCACTCCAGGAAGCCCTGACCGCGTGCGCAGTCACCTGGTAGAGTTTGACTACTTCTTCAGTCACTGCAAAGATCAAATTGATGTTATTCTGGGATAGCTTCTCGGTCATCAGCCCCAGAGAGGGATAATCCTGCAAAAAGAGAGAATGTGGAGGTTAGTAAGAAATCTAGTCACACACATCCTTGGATTCTAAGCCTTAGAGTTTGACTGACTTGGGCCATGGCCTAGACAGTGCTGGTGCTTAAATCTTTCCACCCCATGATCAACATAAGGAATGGGGATAGATAGCAGCACAAGCCCAGTTGTGAACTCCAGGGACAGGTGAAGAGTCCCAACTAAGCACCTCTTTCTTCCTACTCAAATCTGATGCATTCATACCAAGAAGCCGCTTCCAGGGCCCCAGCACGGTTAGACCTCATTGTTTTGAAGCTTCCTCCTATTTTGCAGTTACTGATAGATGGCCTTGGCTTGACGCTCACAATCCTCCACCATGTGGTCCTTTCCAACCTTGTTTTCCAATCATCATTCACCTCTCTCCCTCTTCTACTTCCCACCGACTTGGCCCACTCTCTTTCTGCCACCTGGAATGGCCTTCTTTTTGGTAGTCTTCCTCCTTCCTCAGGACTCAGCTTAGGTCCTACTTTCTCTAGGAGGCCCTCCTCGGCCATCCCAGCTCAGGATGAGCTTTCCTCCTTTGAATACCTAAAAGCCCTTATCAACTGTGCTGCCCATTTCACACTAATCATGCATCTTGTGTTATTGGTAACACATCTCCTCAACTAAACCCCAAACTCCCTAACGGTAGGACCTCCATATAGTCTCTGTATCTCCCCCAGCCCCTGGGAAGGAGCCTTGCATAGATTAGGTGTCAGTGGTTACTGATTCACCCATTGCAGGTGGTGCTCAACTTGAACACAGCTGACACCAAAGAACTCAAGCCGTAATGGGGATGCTGGTGAATAGTGAACCTGGGATCCTAGACCTTGCAGGGAGCTCACGAGATCATCCAGCTCAGGCTCCTCCCTTTACCCAGGTGTGCCCTTAAGCCACCTGAACAAAGTAATTGCTGTATTGTCTTTAAGAGGTAAAGAGTTCACGCCTCCACCTCCACCCCAGATACCCAGAGTATCAGCATTCTGAGGGTCTATATATTTTCTTTATGGCTTACAGAAATTTCTCCTGTTTCAATTTAAACTTGTTTCTTCTTATTTAACCTCTACAGCCACAGAAAACAACTTATAAGAAGTCTTCCCATGTATCAGCTAAATCATCCTTTAGCCTTCTCTCTTTCAAGCTAAATGACTGTGAGACCTTAGACCTTTTCTCACAGGATAGGCGCTCCATCCTTTTGATGATCTTTGTCTCTTTTTCTTCTATTTCCTTCCAATAACCACAAGTGAGCATGGTATTCCAAAGAGGGCATAATCCTTGCACAGTGGACAGGAAGGCCTCTTTACCAACTGGACCTGCAAAAGTCCTTTGGGTCCATTTAGGATGTTATGCTGCTGCTGCTGCTGCTGTTACTGCTGCTGCTGGAAGCTGTGGAGGTAGTGGTAACACTGACCACTTTTTCTAATGGTTGTGCAGGTTGCGCCCTGGATAAAGGTGTTCAGTTGGTTTGAGGGTGGGGGAAGGCTGGCTGAAACAAGCCCTACACCCTGCCCAGAGAAAGGGCTACCATTTTCATATTTATACAAAGATTCTACCTGGGTTAGAGTGAATGGTTTAGAGCCCTGGCCATAGTGAATAGGGACCACAGGTGGTACCCAGAGTCTCACCATGGTAGTGGAGGCAGAGTAATGGTTGTCACTGCCAACATGACACTGCCCATCATTTGGCTGGACAATCCCTGCCAACCTTCCATCCAGTGCTATATGGGTCTTGGCATCAGTGGTGAACACCAGCAAGTGGGATGCATCGTTCCTCCAGCCAATCTTCTCCTGTTAAAAAAAAAAAAATACAAAAGAGAGAAAGCAAATTTAACCTGTCCTTTCCCCAAAAACAAAGACCCAGGGACCTCCCTGCCCAAAGGCTAAACAAATCATCTTAGAGAAAGGCCTCAGTCCCAGTTCTTGGAACATAAACTGGAGCTTTTCAACTTGGGGGTTTCTGTTTTCTTGGCTGATTAGTTCAAGCAGCTGAAAGACACCTGATTCAACTCCAAATATAACTTTTCCGGTGGTAACCACATGGCTCATCTAGAAACCCACCTGCATCTGCAGAGCTGGGCTGGGATAGAAGAATCTCATCTGAACATCTGCCCGCTTGGCTGAGGTTACATTAGCCCAGCTTGACTCTGATTCGCTTCCAGAGAAGATAAGAAGATGCTTTCCCCAGAAAACATCTGGGACCATAAGATTTAAAAAAATGTCAGCTCTAGCCAGGGAGCAGATACAAGCAGAGGCTGCTTATCAGGAACAACTTATTGTTTATATTATACAAAGCTCTGCTTAGTTCCTATCTCGTATTTCACACAAAAATCCCCACAGTTGAGCCACTTCTTTCCCCATTTGATCTGCGCCAACCACACCTGGTACTCCATACCCTCCAGACTCACATCACAGACTGTAGCCTGCATGATGGCATCAAAGCCACCCTCTGGGCCATCTCGGTTCCGTGACACACTCTGCTTCTTCACCTCCTCATTGAAGCGGGTCACCTGGTCAGTTAGCGTCAGCACATGTTTATAGCCAAACATGGGCAAACAAGGGGTCTTCATACTGGGAAACGAGGGAGATAATGTAAGCAGACGCCATGATGGAAAAGACTGTGTTGGGAGTGGGATGGAAAGAGAGGGGGACAAATATGGATAGTGATATGCTCAGACCAATTCCATACAACCACAATTACCCAGACAGCTCAGACTCCAAATTACCCCTCAAATTACCTGAGGCATCAATCACATTGATCTCACCGCTAAGCTAATCTAGAGGATAAGAGAGTGAGCCGGAGAACCTGACTACCTGGGTTCAAATCCCAGCTCCTTTACTTATAAGTCATGGGACCCTAAGTGAGTTTCACGATACTTAACCTATAAAAATGGAGATATGATAGCCCATGTCTCATAAGAGCTATTGTAAGGCTTACACGAGTTAACACATATAAAGCACTTAGGTCAGAGTGAGGCTGTAGTTGTTACCACCTTCTACTTAATACTTCTCTAAAGTAATGGTAACACAACAATAAAGCAAAAGTTCATCAGTAGCAATATCTCTGAACCATCAATAAGTTGATAAACCTGTGCCAAACAGGAACATTTCTGTCACCAAACCAGTGGTTTGTTTGTTTATTTGATGGCTGATATCTTTACTGGGCTGACATCCTTACTGGGGAGCCTTACAACCCAGACAGAAGCTTAAAAAAACACATCATGTAGCTTTGAAAGCTACAAAGTAAATTCATACCTCGTCAGTCTCAGTTACCACCATTTAAAATTATTATAATCCATGGATTTGCATAGTCTCCACCAATTAAATAAATAAGCCACCAGTTGTAAGCCAAAGTATCAACAAAGGCACCCTTATCAATTTAGACTACTAGAGGCCTCAATGAGTATCATTTCCACTCTTTCATATTCCTCTAGGACTTAATTCCTTGCATTTTAACCCCATACCATTCATACACTTGATGGTGAGGGCACTGGTGACAACAACAATGAAATCAATCCTTCTGAAATCATAATTCCCCTATTTACTTGTCCATAAATTTCTCTCAACTTTTGATCTCCTTTCCCTCCCATTCTCTCTTGTCTCCTGTTTATTTGTGACCAAGACCAAGAAGCTGATGAATTTTCCTTTTAGGTCTTCAAACAGCTTTGGACTCGACTGACACAATACTCCAAATTGACATGCTGGCCCACTTCCTGTCTGGAAAGACCAAGGTAGAGAGGAGATATGATTTGGCCAAAAGGCAGCCAACAAAGCGACCCTAGAGCTGGAAATGGAAACCAAGGCTTGGACTTGCTTGGGGGAAAGAGGACGGGTGCTGCCTTGACTTCTAGAGGAGAGACTTACTCATAGCAGGGGTTTTTGAGGGCCTCTGGTGGGGAGATGTACATGTACGGTGACACAGGCTTGTCCACAAAGGCCCCAAAGCCAATCCGCAGGTTACTGGTGAGCTTGCGCATCTGGGAGGCCAGCTTGGTACCCAGGTTCTGGATGCTCCACAGGTCATCTTTCATGGAGTAGGACAGGTCCATCAAGTAGTAGATGTCCACAGGATAATCCTCCACCTGCCGGACTTGGACTGAGAAAATCTTCGAGTCATCTGGAAGGCAGAAGGATGTTAGTGTTTCTCCTCTTTTCTCTCTCTAAGACGTAAGTGGATTTGGACAGTTAGGATTAAGTAACTTCTTGATCAAACTTGAAAGCCCTGGTCCTTTCTCCTCTCGAGCCCTTGAAATTCTATTCCTCTTCTAATCTCTCGACCCTCCTAGTTTTAACCTTTCATTTCCCATTCTAAAATTCTCCACTCTCTCTAATTGCCCACCTGCTTAATCCTCTGGATCCCAAGGGTCTACCACCCTATGTCACAGAGGTTGTGGCAGTTACTCCACTTCAGACCCTGTAAAAGGCTGCAACTATGTCCCATCCTGAATCCCATAGTACCCAGCACATGCCTTACATGTAGA